GCATTCCTGGCGGTGCCAAAGAACTATCTTGTTAGACAAAGCAGATTTGGTGGTCCATGCAAAGCTAACCTTACTGTTCAGGTCAGCAAATCGGTTAACACACAAAAAATTGTACTTGTGATAGAGACAGTGACAGAGTCAGTCTTTGACTGACGTACACTATTTTTTTTAACAAATTATATTAGTGAAGACATATAAGAAAATATATCTATTTTAATGAGGGTATATATTATTTAGGTGGAGATTTAAGTGTAAAATTTTAAAATTTTTAAAGATAATATTTTTTTTTAAAAATTTGAGTGGAGACGGCTGCCCTGTTCATTTTCAAGTGGCTCCATCCCTAGATAGAGATAATAGGATACAAATGTACCTATAGTTCAGGATGCTATGCCTCTTGTTCGACAGCATCGACAACTTAGTTGTGGAAGGTGGTGGAACCCTCAATGGCAATGGAGATGTGTGGTGGAAGCAATCTTGCAGAAAACACAGATCACTAGTAAGTCCCACATTGCATTTTATTTTCTAATGTATGTTTTTTTTTCCCCTCTCTATTCATATGCTAACTTCTTCTTCTTCTTCTTCTTTTTTTTCCCCCTGTATTGCTAATTTGCAGCCTTGCTTTGAAGCACCAACTGTTTCTTCACTTCATATTTTGCTCTCTTATTGTTTGTTCATTAGAATTGAAATGTCTACTTTTGGTGATATCTCAAGCTAATTTAACCTTTCATAAATGCGAGAATCTGGAAGTGAGAGATCTCAACATCGAAGATGCACGGCAAATGCAAGTTGCCTTCGAGCACTTCTAATCTCCATGTAACTGCGCCTGAGGATAGTCCCAACACCGATGGAATTCATGTTAAACATACTCAAGACATTCAGATCGATAATTGTGTTATAGGAACGGGTATATATATATATATATCAACGTTTATAACATATTTATTATAACATCTTCAATATAGTACTAAAGTAAGGTGTTGATGCCAAATTTTAGTATTAGTATTCGAGTACAAAAATCACTCTTCAAACGCAGTGCTATAGCATATGTAAAATAATTTTTATTTTGATTACAATTAGTTGATAAATTGATTTTTTTCATTCAACCATTTGATTGCCTAGTCGGTGATGACTGCATTTCTATCGTGAGCGGACCGCAAAACGTGAGAGCAACAAACATATAACATGTAGGTAAAGTTGCATTATATCTTCTAGTTTAACTTTATCTAAATTTACTAATTTGTTTTATTAATATGACTTCTTGGTTCATTTGTCACAGTATTGGAAGCTTGGGACATGGAAATTCGGAAGCCCATGTTTCAGACGTGATTGTAAGAAATGCCAAATTCTATGGTACTACAAATGGAGTTAGAATCAAGACTTGGCAAATTGACGAAAGTCGCGCTACGGCGGCGAGATGGGAGGCGCCCTCGGCGGTTGACGAAAGTCGCAGATCTGATAATAGAGACACTATCGTCATCAATAAATACGCGACTAGTTGAGGCTCAACAACAAGATGGGCAGAGACCGATGAGAGAGAGATGGACGGTGAGAGAGGATAGCATCTGATTTTGGCGATGCCGAAGCGGCGGCAACGGGTCTGGGCGTCGACGTGGGAGCTATGCCGCTGAACTGAGGGGTGGGTTGAGTTGAGAGGGCTGGTTGTGGGGCGCGTTGGGTCGCCGACGGGCGATGGTGGTGGTGCCATTGGAGAAAGAGGGGTGAGCAGGTATAACATAGTTGAGATTTTTTCAAAAAAAAAAAATTATTGTTTTTTTTTTAATTTTTTTTAATTTTTAGTGTTTTATGTAGATTAAATTATTTAATGCTTTTAATTAATCTTTAACAACGTTAGCAAAACCGTTTAAGTTAATCGATGGAAATGGATGGAAAGGAGATTTTGAATTATTTTCTATACATCAGGAGTATTTTGAACTATTTTAAAAAATTAGAGGCACTTGTAAGAGACATTTATGAAATTAATCCGTTCTGTAAAATGCAGGGAGGTTCAGGAAGTGCAAGCAACATCAAGTTTATAGACATTGAAATGCATAGAGTGCGCAATCCCATTATAATAGACCAAAACTACTGCACTGATCGGCAGAATCCTTGCAAAGAACAGGTAAAGAATTTTCCTACTTCAAAATCAATCCTTTTCAGCCTCTTACAAGCTTCACAGAAAATTGTTGGAACTGTTAATTAAACTAATATGGTTGGTTCTAATTTTAATTATGATATTCAACAGGGCTCAGCGGTTCAAGTGAAAGATGTGCTGTACCATAACATAACAGGCACAAGCACTTCTGATGTTGCCATTAGGTTCGATTGCAGCAAGAGCTTTGCGTGCGAAGGGTTCGTGTTGAGAGGTGTTGACTTGCGACGCAGCAAAGGAGACGCAGCGGCTGAAGCTTTCTGTGACAACGTCAAATTCACCGGCATTAACGGACATGTCTCCCCGATGTGTCCTCATTGAGAATATGTCACATGTCTTTAGCTAGTTAGCCGTTCTTTAGTTTTGCTTTTTTTTTTTTTTTTTTTTTTCTTTCCATTTCATTTTGGCATCTTCTAAACATGGGATTATTATTATTCATCTTATTTTAACTTTCTTCTTGCTTCTTCTGTTTTATAATAATAAACACTTCGCAATTCTGGCTCTGCCTATCCATTTGACCCTGAAGGCTTTTCCACTTTGACCCTGAAGGCTTGAATAGAGCAAAAGCTAAATAAGTAAATATGAAAGTAGGCCTTGAATATCATTTTCTAAAGGTGGAAGTATGCTCAAAAGGAAGATTAACCATAAATATCGTTTCAGTGTCATATATATAAATACACAATCAAGTATAGCAGAAAACAGAACCTTTATATATATTTTTTTTCAGTTAAAATATATTACACATGTTGTTCTTGTCTCCTATGATGTCTAAGAAAAACCAACTTTATTGATTTCCAAACATATCATGACAAGATAAATATTACCCACCCGGAGGAGAGAAATTCAAAGCTCTACACCACAAAGTTTGCTCACGTATATAGACAGTTATCGGAAGGGTTCAATGGGTGCAGATTCCTCGAGAAAAATGGCAGCCTCGAAACATTCTGCAGCTTCTATTGATGATGAAGCACTACCCCTGGCTTCATAGAATAAGCCGAGATTGTACCACGCAGAATGATTCATTCTATCAAGCCGTAGCGCCTCCATCAGAAAGCTTCGAACAACTGTTTCCGATTGGTTGCCGAGCTTCCTGAGAATCTTGGCTGTTGAGATCAAGCTCGCAACAAGGGTGGGATCTATGTCTAACGCGCCTAGAAAAGCTTTTAGAGCTTCTTTGTAGAGGCCCTTGGATTCGTATAAAACACCTGTATAAAAATGAACAGTTTAGTTATGGTTATGGGTTTTCCTAGACTTGGTCAAACCAGAAAGTAAACAAATCTGATTATTCTTCTCTTGGTCGTGTTACATCTTTCTGTAAACAAACCAGATTGTAATCTAAATTTACCTGTAACGTGCCATCTAACAGCCGAGTAAGAAGTGATGGACTTGGATTTAGAAAGACATATCTCAGCGTCACGCCATTGTGAAAGACTTATGTACATATAAGCCAGATCATGCCATATTTCCAATTCCAAACTTCTAGATCTTTGACCACTCTGAAGTTAGGGAAACAAAAGTGAATTAGTGATAAATTACTCTTTATAAGAAAATCATGTCACACTCACACTACCAGTCAAACAAGCAGCAATGTTTTACTATAAGTTAACATAAAGAGTGACATGATTAGATCATTTCAATATATCCATCATCCTCTTTCTCTCTCTTTTTTTTTTTTTGGCCGTAAGGTTATGTGATGTAGTGATGACCTTTGTCTTGTTCTCATCATCCATAACTCAAGTAAATACAGCTTTCTTTTTTTTATTTTTTTTAATTCGCACAAAAAGGACAAACATATGTAAGAAACTTTTCCTCGAAAGTTATTAATGGAATAAAACTTAAGGGAAACCACTTATATGACAAACCTTATATGACATCTTCCCAGGACCAAGATTTTTGTGCTGAACTTGAAGAACGGCAAGAAGCTGAGTATATGTCTCAATGGCCCTTCTCAAATGACCCTGAGCAATGTGAAGTTTGGCTTTGGTTCGCAACAGTTCTCCTTGATCCCAATTCCCCGTCTGATCCAAAGCAGCATCTATGACTGTCTCAGCATCTGCAAACCGTTTCTGAGCTGACAATACCCGCGCCAACAATAACCAACCCTTTACATTAGACCCGCCTTCCTGTTTAAGCATGTTCTTTGCATAAAAAAGTGCGGCATTTAATTTCCTCTGCTCGGCATTTTCTAGGCTGAGATGGTAAAGAACAATAGGGTCACTCATTCCTATAATCCTCCTGGCGGTTTCAAGAACCTGAAGTGCCTCAGATTGTTTTGACACCCTCTCAGAATCAGTAACAACTGCTTTGGACTGTGCTGAAAGAGAAGCGCCTAATAGATAATTGGCAGTACTTTCCAACTGATCACATTTACCATCCAAACTTTCCAGGGCTCGGCGAGCAAATTGTACCCCTTCATCTGCCAGATTTGGGTCTTCCCCAGATATCTTTGAGGCCATAAGTAGAGCTGAAGTACAGTTCGGATCCTCCCCATTACTCAACAATTTCTTCAATAGATTCAAAGCAACAAAGTCCTCACCTGCTCCATAATAACAAAGAGCTAGCGCGTAATACCTTTCTTTTCGATCAATAATACCCGGAAGCAGTTCTTCCACTTGATTACCCAAAGCTTTGGTATCCCCAGAAATAGATAGAGCAAACGAAAGGTGGTCAAAGATTGAGGGATCCCATTCAATTCGCTTTAAAGAGACTTTTCTTAGTAGTATCATAAACAGAAGTATTGCCTCTTCTAAATTGTTTCTAGGTACAAATGAACTGTCCATTTGGGAACGGAGGGTTGGGGGACTTGCTTCACCTCCACTGTAGAGAAGAAAAATAGCAAACTCTTTTTGGATCCCAGCAGTCGTTTCGGTATCAAGATTCCAAGGATGGAGTAAAGCCTGTCGGTATGACAAGATTGCTTCGTTTGGACAATCCGCAAGTTTCCATAATTCTGGGAGCAACTCGACGACCTTAGCTAGAGTCTCCTGCAATTTACATTCAGCACTGAAATGTTCAGGCAAGCCTTCTGGTAAAGAAGATTCAACTATGTCCAGAATAACTTTGCACGATTCAGCCGCTTCTGCAGAATATGATTGGAAATTTACATTATTAGCTTTCAAATGTAGTTTGATTATCATGTAAAGCTTATGAATTATTTCACATTTTATCTCTCCTTTGAGAACAGGGATCATCTGATTCAAAGTATCAAAACAATAAAAAGTAATTATATTTTTATTTCCAAGCCATGCTAGATACTGTTACAGAACCCACATTTCCCATCCGAAGTAGCAGGATCCAAGTTATTGTAATGAAATAATTTATTCATATTGCAGGATCTTTTCTTCTTGTGCTAATAAAAAAAAAAGTTAGTAAGAAAAGTCTAACTTATTTGAAAAGCACGTATTATATAAAGATAATATAAAAAAACTAACTTATTTCAAAAGCATGTATTATATGAGACAATATACTATTACTTGGAAACAAAAGCAATTTCAAGAACACTTTGCGAGTTGTGACACAAGAGCCTAATGGAATCATAAAGTCCCATCTCATACAACCAACTGGAAGTACTAAAAGATTACGAACAAGTGCAATTGCATCCTATAATTCCAAGAATTTGAAGCACAAGATTAAAACATTATTAACAGAGGACAAAAAGTACCTTTGAACCTCCCAAGAGCCTGCAGTGATTTTGATTTGAGAAATATAGCCTCCAAAAGTAAAGTGACAGCATGTATAGACAATGGAGGGGTTGCAAAATTTTGAGAGCTTCTTCTACGACGGTCTCCTCTTCTAGCAAGGGTGGATTTTATCTTGGGTGCCACTGCAGATATGTCTATCCCCTCAAATACATGTAAAGCAGCTTCCACGTTTCCTTTCTGATACTCGTATCTTCCTAACAATGCTCTTGCTTCCTGCAAATCGCATAATGAGAATCCATAGCAACATTCTTAGATCATCAAGAAAAGAACCCACAGAAACATGTCTCTGCCTAGTTGAGACAGAAATGATATAAGCAGAATGATTGCCAAGTCAATCACTTTTAACATAAAAATGTATGAGAAACTGGCAGTACCTATGAAAGAAAGCTTGGAAAGTCAATGAAACATTTGAAACAGAACGATAACTATTTATGAACTTGGAATAGTAACAACGAAGGTCAACCATCACAAGACTGAAATAACAAACAAGTGCACTTTCACGTGGATGTTGACAAATAGGTTTCACATGCAATTTGTTTAGCTGCATTTTAACTCCAGTCCACATTCTTGCCTAATGTTTCTTCCTGTAAGGACAGAAAGTATGCAAGACAAACATGATGCGGTGTGATCTAAAAGCAACACAGGACTCAACCAAATGTGAAGCGACCAATGATGTCCATTTGCTTTGTTATTTTTAATTTTTTGTATAATTAAACGAGAAATTCTGTCGAATCAATCCATGAAAAATATGAGACATTAAAATAGCTTGTGTCTATACTTGGATAACTAAAACCAGTTGAACAGTAGAAAACAACAACAATCTGGATCAGAATCTGTTTAATCACGACTATATAGTGAGAAGAATCAATTCAAGCTTTTAAAATTCAAATCACATGGGAATAATAAGGAGAATGAAGCAACAAACCTCGTAGTTCAAGCAACCACTCTCGCGCAGGGACAATTCAGCTTCTTCTATATTACCGGTGTCCGGTTTCTTTGCGAGCTCGGCAGCTCGTGAGAAGATCTCGCTTCCGTGATCGTCAATTGCAAGAGATTCAGATGAAGGGATCATTTCATTTGCCGCTCTCAACTGCTCCTCAGAGCATAGACACTTCATTATCTTCTGAAGGTTCCTCCTAATATCACTTCTCCTTCTTCTTCCCTTTGCAAGTCTATTCTTCCTCATGTTGCTTCACTAGGCCCCAAAATCTTAACCACCAAAATATCACCCACCACCAATAAGTTAGAACCCTTTTTCTAGAAATTGAAGAAATCCCACTAAACAAGTCCACTAGTAATAATTCTAAGATCAAATGTAAATAAGGTCAAACATTTACACAATAAAACAAAAAACATAATTCTAAGATCAGAAGTTTCATTCAAATTAAAAAAAAAAAAAATCCAACCCCAACTCCAGAAAACAAACAGGAAGCACAATTAACATTAAAAAAAAACAAAACAAAACAAATCAATTTGACTTTGTCACAATTATTGTCGGCCCAAAACCTAACTCCATTTCAGAATCACAATTCTCCTGTTAAAACCACAAACCCATGAATATTTCCAAAACCCCGCGTCAGAAATTCAACAAACACAAACCAATTTCAAACCAACTCCATATATAACTATTATCCCAAAAAAAAAAAAAAAAATCAACCCAAGTGACAATTCAATAACCAAGAAACCGACAGACCAACCAACAACTGAATAAATAAGAATTCAAAAGCACTCACCTTTTGTTTTTCCGAGAAGAAAAGCGAAGGTTTTGAGCCCACAAGGCATCAACAGAAACACCCATTTCTTTTTCCCAATCAAACCGTCCTTTAGAATCGTTGAATTAGTCCAAGTTTCTTTCTTCCTTTTTCTTTTATTTTCCCTTTCTTTCTTTTTCTCTTGCTCTGTTGATTCGGATGACAAAAACTGGGATCCTACGAACCTTTTCGTCGAATCGTGAAGAAGAAGATATTGGATGGGGGAGTTTAAAGAGTTTTTCGAGAAACAGGGGAACAACAAAAAAGGAAACACGATGGGGGTGTTCTTGCAAGAAGAGATTTCCTCTTGGGGTCCACTCGTAATATTAATTTACTGTTACCACGTGGGCTGAGGCCGATTCTGTGCCACGTGGAAGGCGTTTGTAACTCTTCTGCTGCCGTTAAACCGTTTTTTAACTACACCTTTCATAGAACCGACAAAATTCCTTACTGTTTGCTATGGTTGTCTTCTTTCAGTTCTTTTTTTTTTTTTTTTCCTTCTTTAATTTGTTTGTTTAAGATTCCTTTTTTGTTTCATACATGTGTAAAATATAGCACGTGCATGAAACACACCTTAAAAAAAAAAAATTTGATTTCATTTTCTACCTCTAGCTGTGCTCTTCTGTTATCCTTCGGCCGTACAAAATTATTTATGGATCTATAAATGATGATAGAAGTTTACACCGATAACCTCGAGCATTAAAAAAAAAAATAACAGCAACAGGTGATCAATATATATTTAAATAATAATAATGTTTCTTTATAATAAACAACAAATATATTTTTAGAAAATAAGAATTTCTGCTAGAAGATTAGAATAAATGAACTATTATTATTTTTTTACTTTTTAACCGACATTCAAAACTGATTGTACCAATAGATCAACCTATTAAAGAATGTCCATTATTAAATTTTATTTCAAGCTTTAGTACCTACATTCCTTAAAACCGCTTTCATGACTAAACTGTAATTCTTTTTCTTGATAATTTTTAGATTGTTCTTTAATTTTTGCATGAATGGTCATGGTTTTTAGTACTCGTGTTTTATGAACTTCTCATGATTTTCGCAGAATCCGTTTGGTTGGAAGATTCGTTCTCTAATTTAAATCATGGTTCGTTACAGTATTTTCTCTCACAAAAAACACACGTAAATCGAAAATGATTCTAATCTCATGGTTCTAATCCATGAATTAAACGGACTAATTTTCTAAGCACTTATCCTTTTGATAAAGTAGTCTATAAATCACGATCTGAAGGATGATTAGTTTTCAATCCAACCTTTCATTAACGATAACTTAATTATTTTTAGTTGTCGCTGCTTTTGGAAATTGATGGACTAAATTTACTAACAGAAAAATAACGATGAAGGTGTCAAACACAAAAAGTTAAATGAATTTAGAGGGCGTTGATCTACTTTTACTAACTCACTCCGTGAATAAAAACAATACTCATTCTCATCCTATTAATTCATATAAGTTTATGGAGATAAGGTGGGTCCCAGTCACGAGTTTAGAGCACTTACAGATACTCGTTTACTCGGTTAGTTATTTTTATGATACGCATAAATAAATAAATAGAAATAGTTAAAAATTGGAATGAAGGATAAAACATAATTCTGAATTTTCTCTAATAATAAAAGAGATTTTGGAGATCCAGCTGGTTTGCCCCGTGAACTGAAGTGGGCTTTGGACAAAGCCCGATGTATTATGGACCAAGTTTTCAGCTCAAAAGTAGCTGAGTATGCCTTCTGAACAAGGCAATTGGACTCAAATGATTCACCTTTGACTAACATTTGCAAATAATTGGGTCAAATACAAAAATACCATTTAAAATAATACTAAAATTTACGCCACTCAAATAAAAAAACAATGCACATTTCATCAAATCAATTAAAAATAAATAAATTTAAGTGGCACAAACTTGTATTTTGAATGACATGAACGTAAAGATAACAAAAAAAGATGGCAATATATGCAATTTTCTCTAACTTTTATTCAATCTTTGCATTTTTCATTGGTTTTACTTTTAAATTTCCTTAAAAGAAAAGGCAAGGTCCTTCGGAAAAAAAGGGCAAGGTTTGTTCTTGCTCCATGACACTTATTTTTAATGAGAAGACAATAATGGTGAAATTACTATAAACTTACAAGTTGAGGAGATTTCTAATCTTAATTTACATTTGGAAAATCTAGGGAATGCCCTTTTACGCATAATTTTTTATATAACTTTTAAATATTATTATATTATGTCCCTATTTTTCTTCATCGTATATCAATTTTAGGGTACGGATTTCTAAAAAGAATAAGGTATAAAACTAAAAGGATAAGTGAAATTTAAGAAATTCGCCTCTCTAACTCATATTGTAAAACGTAATGATAGAAATTGAGGGTATAAATCTTATAGTGTTTGAGAAAGGTTATAAATATTGTTCTTTTAATAAGAGGACATTACTCTAAATTCCTCCTTAAGGTGAAGAGGATGCAAGTCTTAGCATAAGGCCACTGTATACATATTTATTTTTGCTTGGGATACTTATTAAGAGTAAAAAAAGAACATATCATAGTTCCACATGTATATCTTAACAATAAATTTACACTTAATTCCATCATGAGGTGAAGAGTTTGAATCCTCTCACCTTAAAATTTAAAACAAAATAACGTATATTATTTAGTTATAATGTTAGCGTCTCTCTTTTTATAATATTCGAGTTTGAATCATCTTTATTCACAGTTTGACATGTGAACTCGTACTTTAACAGAAAATAAGATAATGAAGTTCACGTGTTAAAAAATTAATGTAGAAAGTGACAAAAAATGACAAAAAAGTGACACTAATATTTCTCTTTATTTATGTTATTTATTTTAATAGAGAGAAAATAATTTCAATCAATAAATAATATGGTGTAGTTGAGACAGACTGAGTTTGAGTGTCAATCTTCGTGTCAAGAATTCATTAGTCAAGTACCAACTATCTAAGCCAGCCAATAATTAACTCTAATCTCCTATTCCCATAAGGATAAGACATAAGATATCCCCTACAAATTAGAGGGAAAAAATGAAGAAAAAAAAAAAGATCATGAAATTAGGATTAAGAATGCATACGATTACTAATAGTCTTTTGGAGTCTGATCCTATATCAAAGAGGATTCCATTTTAAGATCGGCTAAATATGGAACTGCTTTTTTGGGGAACAAATAAAAACTCTGAATAACGTTATTTAATTTGTATTATCAAACAAAGTACTTAGATTTATTGTGGATTTGAAAATTGCAGATAAAAAAATTCCGTGCTTTTGTTTCGTTGATTCTATTATTTGTTATTTTGTATTCGTCCAACGACAAATTAAAAAGGGAGGGTATTTTTGTCATTTAAGCAACGTGGCA